GAGGGACAAACAAGACGGCTGCACGGAAAAGGCGCACAGATCCCCAGACCTCTTGGCCGAAGCCCACGCCCACAACAATGCCGTTTTGTAGGACAATCAGGCAATGGTCGCATTGTCCAGGGGTTCAAATGGAGGACCTGAAAGGCCAGCCATGACCACCTGAAGGTCCCAAGACGGAGCCGACCGCCGGAGGGAAGGCCTGATCCTGCGGGCCCCTCGTAGGAACCGCGCAGAGTGGCTACCAAACCCCACGTGCCCAGTGGTAATGGCCGCCGCGAACACACCCAGAGTGGCGGCCGCCCTTCCATTTCTCCAGTAAGAACTGGAGAAAAGTCAAGACCTCCTGGATGGAACACTAGGTGGGGTCCAACATCTGTCCACGCACCAAGAGGCGAAGAGTTTCCAGCGAACCTCATACGCTTTGGTGGTGGATGTAGCCCTCCCACCCTGAATAGTAGCGACCACTAAGGGAGGGAGACCAAAGCTGAACATGAGCCTGCTTCCCAGGACAGGACGTGAGTAAAGGGCTCCCCCTGCCTGTCTCAGAGCATCAGGACGGTCCGGAACGGGCCAAGGCGGACTGAGCGCCATGCTCACCAGGTCCGGATAGCACCTGGCTCCCGGGCTGTCCGGCGCCACCACCAGGATGGAGACCCCCTCCGTCCTCACCCTGTAAAGCAGGGCTGCCAAGAGCCGGAGAGGCGGGAAGGCATAGAGGAGACCGTTGGGCCACGACCGGTGCATCACAGTGGCGTTGTCCGTCCGAACAATCACCTGTTGGCCCTCCAGTCTGGTCATGAAATGGGCCAGCACCAACCGCATCGCCTCCAATTCCAGGAGGTTGATGTGCCCCAAGGGGGAGGACCAAACGCCTCCTGTCGAGTGGTGACCGAGCACGCCTCCCCAACCACTCAGTGAGGCGTCCGTGAAGACCTCGATGTGGTGGTCCACAACACCCATTCGAACTCCCTCCTGGAGTCGACCTGGGGACAGCCAGAAGGCGACGTCGTTCTGAGCCCTCACCGACAGTCGCTCCCTCCGTGATAAGCCCCTGAGGTGTGAGAACCACCTCTGGAGATATTGCATGTGCAGCGACCCCAGTCTCACCACTGGATGGGCCGCTGCCATCATGCCCAAGAGTGACTGGATCTGCCGCGGTTGGACCCGAGGTTCACCCAGAACGATCCGGCCCAGGTTCTGAACCGCCGCTTCTTTCTCTGGCGAGAGTGAAGCCGTCATGCTCCTGGAATTCAAGCCCAGTCCCAGATACGAGATCTCCTGGGCCGGGCACAGGGAGCTTTAGTCCCTATTGATCACAAACCCTAGGTGAGCACGTGATTTAACACTCTGGACGTTTGATCCTGCGCATCCTTCGGGGAGGACAGGATCACCATTCGTTGATATACGTCAGTGTCCTGAGGCCTTGACGCCGAAGGGGTTCTAGCGCCGCCTCCACACACTAGGAGAAGGTGCGGGGGGGCTAGGGAGTAGCCGAGTGGGGCACCGGAGGAACTTCTTGTGCCCCCGTGCAATGGGTTTGTGGAAATTCGCGTCCTTGAGGTCCACGGAGGACCTCCAGTCCCCGGGCCTGACGCTCAGGAGTAGCTGTTTACTGTGAGCATGCGAAACAGTCGCTTGGCTATGCAGCCATTGAGGACGAGCAGGTCCAGCATGGCCCGCACCCCTCCGCACTTTTTTATTTTTTATTTTTTTATTTTTTTTATTTTGGGATTATGAAGTATGGAGAGTAAAACCCTGTCCCTGCCCTGAGCGGGTCTACCTCCACTACCCCCCGGCGCTGCAGAAGCGTGTTGACCTCCCTGTGAAGCGCCACGGCGTTCTGGAGAATGCCGCAGAAAGGAGGGGGCCGCCAGGAGAACTGGAGAGCATAGCCCCGACTCAGCACTCTGTGTATCCACAGAGTTCCCCGGAGCCCCGACTGTTCCGATACGGTGACAACATGGGTCAAGGGAAGCACAGTGGGATGGGAGGAGGGAGAAAGGCCTGGTCCGCCCACAGATGTCCCATCCTGGGGAGGCATCGGATAGTGGGGGGCCCGTGGGAAAAGGCCTGAGCCCTAGCAACGGCCCTGGGCCTTTCTCTGGGTGGCCGCGTGAGGGCAGGTGTGCTGCACTTACGTGGAGCCGAGCCCCTGCTCCCCAACACTGTGGACTGAGAGGGGACCAAGCAGTCCCGCATATTGCAGTGGGGGGCCCCTTGAAAGAGGGCTGGGCCCTAGCTGCGGCCCTGGGCCCTTTTCCCGGGTGGCCGCGTGACGGCGGGTGTTCTGCGCTTACGTGGAGCCGAGCCCCTGCTCGCCAACACTGTGGACTCAGAGGGCGCCGAGAAGCCCCACTTATTGCAGTGGGAGGCCCCTGGGAAGAGGGCCGGGCCCTAGCTGCGGCCCTAGGCCCTTTTCCGGGTGGCTGCGTGAGGGCAGTTGTGCTGCGCTTTCCTGGAGCCGGGCCCCCGCTCCCCAACACTGTGGACTGAGAGGGGGCTGAGCAGTCACACTTATTACAGTGGGGGGCCCCTGGGAAGAGGGCTTGGCCCTAGCTGCAGCCCTGGGCCTTTTTCCAGGTGGCCGCGTGAGGTCAGGTGTGCTGCGCTTACGTGAAGCCGAGCCCCCGCTCCACAACACTGTGGACTGAGAGGGGGCCGAGCAGCCCCACTTTTTGCAGTGGGGGTGCCCCTGGGAAGAGGGCTGGGTCCTAGCTGCGGCCCAGGGCCTTTCTCCCCAACACTGAGGACTGAGGAGGGGGGGGGGAGCAGTACCACTCATTGCTCTGGATAGTGGGGGGCCGCTGGAAAAAGGTCTGAGCCCTAGCTGCGGCCCTGGCTTTTACCGGGTAGCAGCGTGAGGGCAGGACAGCTGTGAGCTGGCGCTCGTGGCGCACAGAGAGCGTAGGAGGGTAGCGTGCAGCCGCGCACTCTCTGCCCAAGAGAGGCAAAGGCACGGGGAGCGCACAGCGGTCCCGGAGCATGCCTCCAGCGCGCGCACGAGAGGCGCGCTGAGAGAGGCTCCAGGCACTTGGCAGATGAGCAGCGATGGCCAAGCGCTGAGGATAAGGAAAAGGGGAAAGAAGTGTTCTCTTTGAGGGAGTAACGGGCCTGATGATGGCCTTTATTAAAGCGTTTCCCTCCCCTCCTTGCAGCTGCAAAGCCGGGGTGGCTGCTGCTCCTCTGCTTGTCACACGCTTGCTGTCTCCTCTTGGTTCTGAGCGGTGCTGGGTTGCAGAGCGGTCCCTGTCCGAGGGATGCAGCGAGGAGAATAATGTTATAAGCCATAGCAACGACCTATGAGGGGGTGCCAGCCCAGACCCCGGAGGAAGCTGGTGTACAGGCGTACTCCATCCTCTATGAGAGGAAAACCTGACCGCCAAGGCTAGGCCTCCGCACCCGCGTATACTCCATACGCTAGCGCCGGGGAATGGGCTGTCATGGGCCTATCCCCTCGCGGCTGATATAGTGAAGCAGAGGCACACCCTGAGCGAGCCACCATGGGCACCGAGAGTGATGTTATTAAGCAACCATCTGTGGTGCAGTAGTATTACGCCTGTCCAGCGTGAGCAGAACGTAGCACACCCTGAGCAAGCCACCATGGGCACCACTCCAGGGATGAAGCGAGCAAAGTAATGTGTTAAGCTACGGCAACCATCTGTGGTGTATTAGCTATACGTCTGTTCAGCGTGGATAGAGGGAAGCACACCATGAGCGATGCCACTAAGGGCACCACTCTATGCGGCATAAATACATCCGGGGCTTTCTCCCGCGGCACGACGCCAGCCCAGGCAGAAGACGCTGGACTCGTGGCGGTCAGTCTGGGAGAGTGCCACTGGGCACAAGTCGCAGATCCGCAGCCTGACACCGGAGGGTGGCAAGTTCTCAGGCGCGGGGATCTTGCTTGAAGACATCCTAGCAAAATGAATCGAAGCTTCTCTTAGGCAAGCTGAGAGAGAAAGGAGAAGAGCTGTGGTGCATGACCCTATTTATAGGGGACTGGCCTACGCCAGGACGTGAAGGTGATTGGAGGGTGGATCGTTTGATCTTCTCAGGGCGGGAAGCGATGCTTCCGAGAGATATGCATTAGCGAAGCCTAAAGGGCGAAGCAACATATGAAATAGAATCAGACCTGATTCGACTTTGACCAGAATTCGTTTGGAAGCCGACCGAGACCACCTAAAAAAGTGGGTCTCGGTTCGGTTCTTTGGTCCGGACTAGGATTCGTTTGTGTGTATTCAGACCTGCATAAAAGCTTCGGATCAGAGTTCCAAACGAATCCCGGTCCGTTTAAAGTGGAGCAAATGTGCAGGTCTGAATACACCCTTAAAGCTGCACTAACTGACTTTATTTTCGTATTCATTACGAAAATGCTATCCATGTCCATGTAGTGCATTGGGATATACGTTCTTCTGAAGAAAAAGTAGCGCAGATTTGTGCTGGCCTGACATTATATTTTCGATCGAGTTTGGATGAAACAAGGAAGAGAATGTGTTTCGGGTCGCAGATTGTGACCAATCACAGCGCACCACTAGCCCCCACTTTCGTGAGAAATCTACAGGTCCGTTAGCACAGACAGCTGAGTTAGCACAACAAGCGGCAGAGCTAACCTGAAGCCTGTGTGTCTTCGTCACCGGGTACTGCTTACACAGCGAAACAGCCATCCAAAAGAAAGTCTCGTTCCTCCGCGCTTCCCGGTTCTATCGTTCTATGGTCACGCCATCCACGTGAAAATCCATATCCATGTATTATCCATATTGGGAGAGGCTAGCTCCGTCTCAACACTGTGTGTGTGTGGGGGGCGATAGCTTCGTGGGTGCGGGGAGGGGAGCAGAAAGAGCGAGGCCAGCGAGTCCGCGGCTTCAAAATCCCAAAGTCAGTTAGTGCAGCTTTAAATAAGTAATCTCCGACTTTGGTCCAGTTGTTGTCTAACCCCTGCTCTGTGTGCAGTGATAAAGCTGGATGGGTCCACTCCGGTCCGGTTTGGCCTCAGACTGAACATGGACGAGAAGTACACAGGACTGAAGAAGCAGCTGAGTGAACTGTGCAGCCTGAAGCCAGAGCAGATCCTGCTGGCAGAGGTGCACTCCTCCAACATCAAGGTCAGAAAACTGCCTACTGTACTGTACCTACACTCTGTCAGTTAGAACATTTAGTAACAGCTTGGCCTGGATAGAACCAGGACCAAGAGGGACTAAAGAAGGACCTGGTATTGGTTACTCAGGGGCCCTAGAGATGGGACCTACGGCAGGCTGGAGGACTGTGTCTCTCAGGGAACAGAGAGAGAGAGAGAGAGAGAGAGACCGACTGGAGAGAGAGAGACTGGAGTGAGAGAGCAAGGGAGACTGGAGAGAGAGCAAGGGAGACTGGAGAGAGAGCAAGGGAGACTGGAGAGAGAGCAAGGGAGACTGGAGAGAGAGCAAGGGAGACTGGAGAGAAAGAGCAAGGGAGACTGGAGAGAGAGACCGGAGAGAGAGAGAAACCGGAAAGAGAGAAGCCGTAGAGAGAGACTGGAGAGAGGGAGGTTGTGTGCAGAAATAAGGGCTTGTGATGAAAAATAGGCCAATTCGCTGCTATTAATTAAGTTATTTTTTTATATTTTTTATTTTTCATTTGTATAAAAAATATTTAGTCAATATAAATTTGCTGTTTGTATTTGGGCGGTTCAAATATATTTTTAGATAGAATAAAAAAGTTTAGCCTTTTAGAATCGAACACACAGAAATCTGCTGCTGTATGTGAACTCTGACCTCTGTCTTGTTGTGTTGTTTCTTAGCACTTCCCGCTGGATAATCAGAAAGTGCGTCTGTCGGTGAACGGGTTCCTGTGTGCGTTTGAGATCCCAGTTCCTGGATCTCCAACATCGCTGAGCTCTCCCACTCTGACCGGTGAGTCTGAGACCAGAGAGAGAGACCAGAGAGAGAGACCAGAGAGAGAGACCGGAGAGAGAGACCGGAGAGAGAGACCGGAGAGAGAGACCGGAGAGGGAGACCGGAGAGGGAGACCGGAGAGGGAGACCGGAGAGGGAGACCGGAGAGGGAGACCGGAGAGGGAGACGGAGACCAGAGACGGAGACCAGAGACGGAGACCAGAGACGGAGACCAGAGACGGAGACCAGAGACGGAGACCAGAGACGGAGACCAGAGACGGAGACCAGAGACGGAGACCAGAGACGGAGACCAGAGACGGAGAGAGTGCATAGCGAGACTCCCAGTTCCAACAGCAGATTTACCCCGTTTGTGTCTTTGTGTGTTTGTCTGTGTTTGTTTCTCAGACATCACTCCGGTGGCGAATGGCTCAGTGAACGGCCACCTGATTCCAAACGGAGACCCCAGCTCCGCTCCTCTCTCCAGCCCAGAGGCGCCTCTCGTTAACGGGGTGACCACCAACGGCCACCTCACCCCCCTCCAGGACAGCCCCTTCATCGGCTACATCATCGCCATGCACCGCAAGATGGTGAGCTGATACTAGCATGGATGAAGCTAAAAACCAAAAATTACCCTTTACCACCGTTCATCTTATCCCTCTTTCTGGTCTCTCTCTATCTGGTCTCTCTATCTGGTCTCTCTTTCTGGTCTCTCTCTCTCTGGTCTCTCTTTCTGGTCTCTCTCTCTCTGGTCTCTCTTTCTGGTCTCTCTCTCTGGTCTCTCTGTGGGGTGTGTGTGTGTGTGTGTGTGTGTGTGTGTGTGTGCGTGTGTGCGTGCGTGGTTATTGTCTAATTTCTCTCTCCTGTGTGTTGTGTGTGTCTCTGTAGATGCGTTCGGAGCTGTACTTCCTGTCCTCTCAGAAGAATCGTCCCTCTCTGTTCGGGATGCCTCTGATAGTTCCCTGCACTGTTCACACCAGTAAAAAAGACCTTTACGATGCTGTGTGGGTCCAAGTGTCCAGACTAGCATCTCCTCTGCCGCCTCAGGAGGCTTCTAACCACGCTCAGGACTGGTGTGTACATGTATTTCTCTCCGGTGTCTCTGGTCTCTCTCTGGTCTCTCTCTGGTCTCCCTCTGCTCACTCATCTCTCCTGTGTTTCAGTGATGACAGTTTGGGGTACCAGTATCCGTTCACACTGAGAGTCGTGGGCAAAGATGGTAACTCTTGCGCCTGGTGTCCATGGTACCGGTGAGAAACAGCACTTTATCTCTGAACAAATGACAAAAACACGAAACAGTTGTTAAAACAAAGGTTACTTATGTAACCACGGTTCTATGAACCTCAAATGCCTGGCAGAGGTGCCTAGCACCTAATGTTCCCTGCGCATGCACAAAGCGAAGTTAAATGGATACAGTAGAACAAATTATTGTGATATTTAGTTAAATAATGATCTTTTTCACTTTGGTTCCTTCTCTGAATTTACTCTGCTAGTTTACATTTGTGTATTACAGCCACCAGGTGGCGCTTGATGCATAGCTTTGTTTTTTGCATTCATTCAACAGTAATAATGTGATGGGAGCTCACGTTCATGTGAGAGTCATCTATTCAGAGAATAATGATGTCTTGTCTGTAATAAGGTCCTGTGTCCTGAATAACGTTTTTCTTCAGTTCATGTGCAGACCATAATAAAAGTCACATTTGGCAGTCTTATTTTCCTCAGTTTTTTGTGTGCTTGTCTGGTGCACACTGGGGACTCATGCACACCATTTATTCCTACTGTATGTGGTTATCTTGCAAATAGAAAATAAACTGAACCTGAATCTATACTTGACACACTTTACATTTTACACTCTAACACATTCTGCCCTTCTGGTGTCCAGGTTCTGCAGGGGCTGTATGGTGGAGTGCACAGAGGAGCGGGCTGCAGTGGGAAACGCGTACATCGCTGTGGACTGGGATCCTACTGCTCTGCACCTGCGCTACCAGACCTCCCAGGAGAGGGTCAGTCTGCTCTATCATACAGACTCAGAGAGAGGGACCAGAGAGGGACCAGAGAGGGACCAGAGAGGGACCAGAGAGGGACCAGAGAGGGACCAGAGAGGGACCAGAGAGGGACCAGAGAGGGACCAGAGAGGGACCCTCTCTCTTATCTCCCTGGTCTCTAACAGAAGCTGGTGTAGAGATTGTAATACAGATCTGTTTTTTTGTCTTTGTGAGAAAATATGCTGCTGCGTTTTGAATCGGCTGCAACTCCACTCAGTCCACATTTGTTTTTCTAAAGCGTGTGTGTGTCTGTCTGTCTGTTGCTCTGTGTGTGTGTCTGTGCCTCTCTGTGTCTAGATCGTGGAGGAGCACTGCAGTGTAGAGCAGTCCCGTCGGGCCCAAGCTGAGCCCATCTCCCTCGACAGCTGCCTCAGAGCCTTCACCTCAGAGGAGGAGCTGGGGGAGGACGAGCTCTACTACTGCTCCAAGTGCAAGACCCACAGACTGGCAACCAAGAAGCTGGACCTGTGGAGGCTGCCTCCCATACTGGTCTGTGGCTACTACTGCTGATAGTACTGCTACGGCTAACACTACAGCTGATAGTGCTGCTAGCACTATTAAACTACTGCTAATATTACAAGTAAAAACATCAAACTGTTGTAACTTGTTTTATTCTATTATTATGTGATTCCCGCTAGTCTCTCTGGTCTCTCTTGTCTCTTTCTCTGGCCTCACTCTTGATGATCCCTCGCCTTCTCTTATCCTTCTCTCCTGATGATCCCTCGCCTTCTCTTATCCTTCTCTCCTGATGATCCCTCGCCTTCTCACCTGATGATATCTCTCTGTTCTCAGATCGTCCATTTGAAGCGTTTCCAGTTTGTGAACGGCCGATGGATCAAGTCTCAGAAGATCGTGAAGTTTCCCAGAGAGAAGTTTGACCCTGGTGCGTTTCTGGCTCCGAGAGACAGGGGGCAGCACTGTCCGTACTCCCGCAGTGAGAACGATGACCTCCTCAGAGTTGGAGAAGACCATCTGTCCTCGATCTCTGCTCCTGCTGGTTTCAACAACCTACACAAGGGTAAGAGACCAGGGAGAGACCAGAGTGCGAGAGAGACCAGAGTGCGAGAGAGACCAGAGTGCGAGAGAGACCAGAGTGCGAGAGAGACCAGAGTGTGAGAGAGAGACCAGAGTGCGAGAGAGACCAGAGTGCGAGAGAGACCAGAGTGCGAGAGAGACCAGAGTGCGAGAGAGACCAGAGTGCGAGAGAGACCAGAGTGCGAGAGAGACCAGAGTGCGAGAGAGACCAGAGTGCGAGAGAGACCAGAGTGCGAGAGAGACCAGAGTGCGAGAGAGACCAGAGTGCGAGAGAGACCAGAGTGCGAGAGAGACCAGAGTGCGAGAGAGACCAGAGTGCGAGAGAGACCAGAGTGCGAGAGAGACCAGAGTGCGAGAGACAAGTGAGAGACCAGAGTGCGAGAGAGACCAGAGTGCGAGAGAGACCAGAGTGCGAGAGAGACCAGAGTGCGAGAGAGACCAGAGTGCGAGAGAGACCAGAGTGCGAGAGAGACCAGAGTGCGAGAGAGACCAGAGTGCGAGAGAGACCAGAGTGCGAGAGAGACCAGAGTGCGAGAGAGACCAGAGTGCGAGAGAGACCAGAGCGAGTGCAGAGTGCGAGAGAGAACCAGAGTGCGAGTGCGAGAGAGACCAGAGTGCGAGAGAGACCAGAGTGCGAGAGAGACCAGAGTGCGAGAGAGACCAGAGTGCGAGAGAGACCAGAGTGCGAGAGAGACCAGAGTGCGAGAGAGACCAGAGTGCGAGAGAGACCAGAGTGCGAGAGAGACCAGAGTGCGAGAGAGACCAGAGTGCGAGAGAGACCAGAGTGCGAGAGAGACCAGAGTGCGAGAGAGACCAGAGTGCGAGAGAGACCAGAGTGCGAGAGAGACCAGAGTGCGAGAGAGACCCGAGTGCGAGAGAGACCCGAGTGCGAGAGAGACCCGAGTGCGAGAGAGACCAGAAAGACATCTTAGCTGCTCTCCACCACATAGTAAAGTCTCTTGATGGTAACTTGTGTCCTCAGCCTCTCCCTGCTCCAGTCGGAAGTCTCTGAGCCGCAGCAGCAGTCCCTCCTCCAGCCCCAAGACCTCATCCCGCCGCCCAGGGCGGCTACGGCTGCCCCAGCTCGGCTCCAAGAACCGGATCCACTCCAGCAAAGACAACCTCCACACAGAGACCACAGAGACCACAGAGACGGAGACCACAGAGACCATAGAGACCACAGAGACTGGCAGGCTAGAGGAGGACGAGGACCAGAGGGCACCAGGACCAGCCGAAGTCCTGGAGTCCGAGTCCGAGCTGGGGACTGATGCCTCTCACTGTGACGTGGTTTTGATGAATGGGAACGGACTGAACTCAGACTGCAGCACTGAGAGCAGCTTGGACCAGGACCTGCACCAGGACCTGCACCAGGACCTGCACCAGGACCTGAACCAGGACCTGAACCAGGACCTGGGTCTGGAGGCCATCTACAACCTCTATGCAATATCGGTGAGTCCCAAAACACATCTGCAACCTCTATACAACGGAAAGGACTAGGAGCAGAGGTCCTGGTCCTCTGACGGTGAGAAGGGAGCAGCGTCTTCAGTCAGAGCTCAGTCTGGCGTGATAAAGAGGGATCTCGACAAAAGACTTTATCATAATAGTTTCTGCCAGTTTGACATTTCTGTGTACATTGTGCTGAAGTTATAAGTTCTGTATAAGCTTCATCTGATGTTTTGTTTTATGTTTTTCTCCAGTGTCATTCAGGAATCATGGGAGGCGGCCACTACGTCACTTACGCCAAAAACCCCAACAGGAAGTGGTACTGCTACAACGACAGCAGCTGCAAGGTAACTGCCCCAGAAGAGAGGGAGCAGAGAGAGAGAGAGAGAGAGAGAGGGACCAGAGAGAGAGGGACCAGAGAGAGAGAGACCAGAGAGAGAGAGAGCAGAGAGAGGGGCCAGAGAGAGAGAGGGGGGGAGAAAGAGAGCCGAGAGAGGAAGAGAGAGAGAGAGACAGACCAGAGAGAGAGACAGACCAGTCAAATAGTGAAACACAGGGCTGTAAGATGATGCTCCTCGTAGTCACTCTAAAGACCCCAGCTTTAACCCCTCCCTCTCCACAGGAAGTGCACTCGGGGGAGATGGACACAGACTCCGCATACATCCTGTTCTACGAGCAGCAGGGCGTGGACTACTCACACTTCCTACCGCAGACGCAGGGGCAGAAGATGGCCGACACCAGCAGCATGGACGAGGACTTCGAGTCGGACTACAGGAAGTACTGCGTGCTCCAGTGAACGTCCTCCCCCGGGGGGCGCTGTGGCGAGCCCCAGCGAACCCGGGTCTGAGCAGTTCTGATGCAGAGGGGAGGAGAGAGAGGAGGGAATATAGTACAAGTAAAAGTATAAGTATAAAACAAGATAGCATTGTTCTTCCTCTGAACTAAGCACTGCAGTGCACACAAGCCACAAAAGATTTCTTCTTAGATAAAGGTAGCTGTCATCTCTCTGGGCTCTCTCTCTGGTCTCTCCCACTGGTATCTCTCTGATTGCTCTAACTGGACTCTCTTGTCGCTCTCTCTGGTCTGTCTCTGGTGAGGTCTCTCTCTCTAATTGGTCTCTTTCTGGTCTCTCTCTGGTCTCTCTCTCTCTTGCTGGTTTCTCTCTAGAGACCACACTAAAGTGCAATGGAAACGCAGGTAGAGTAGAGCTGGTGGAAACAGGGCGATGAATACCACTTACTTCAGCACTTATTAATTTATTTTTGACCCTTTCTCTCACCGTAGTCAGAAACAAGCCGTAACAGTTCATAAATACAATATAATATCATAAAGTCAGAACTGCTCAGGTCCACATCTCAAGACTTTGTTCTGCTGCACTGAAACTCTCCCAAATACTTCTTTGGCACTTTTTCAGTTTTGGTGCGAGAAACCTGAAACCATAAAGCTGGTGAAAGCACTTTTTTCCGGAGCTCCACGAACAAAACATTAACGTTGTCATTCTCTGTTCTCATCTGTCCTCATGAATGTGTCTGTGACGTCAAAGCGTGGTCCGTACGTGTCTGTGACTTGATCCAGTTTTGATGAAGAGGCCAAAATACTGACAAACGCTGACCTTTTGGAGAGAGAGTCTTGTGTCTGTGCAAAAATACTAACCCCCTCATTTATGGCGGGGGTGATGTGTTCTAAAAATAACCCATCATCAGGTAAATCCTCTCGGCTCTCAGCAGCTGTAAGTTTAACTCCTCACACTTTATACACTTTTCTAACCACCTGAACTCATCACTGCTGAAGTGAGAGGGACCAGACATATCAAACATATGGATTGTAGGTCTGAGCGCTGCTGCAGCTGTCAAAAGCCGTGCATACACTGTAAAATACAACTGCAGAGGACAGAGAGGGTCAGGAGCAGGTCTGAGAGCTACGGGAAGACCAAAGTCCTCTGAACTTTGATAAAACTTTGATTAAAAGTCCCTCACTTGTCTCTCTCTGGTCTCTCCGTTCTTTCTCTTCTCTGAACTTATCATACAAGCCCCAAAAGCTCTTCTGACAAAGTAAATATATTCTTTTCCATGTGGATGAGAAACTTATCTTGAAACTTAACCTCTTCCTTGTGGTGAAAAGCAGACACGGGTCCATAAACACACCAACCTTTCCCACCATTGTCCCGGGTCGACATTTCAACACGGTTCTGTGTTATTGCATTATTAGTGACTCCACAAATGGTCAGCTGTTTTCCTCTATTGTAAAAGCCAAATTCTTGTAAAATCGATGTCAAAAGCTGTCATTTCCAAGCTAAACTTTCAATTTTTGGCCAAAATAATTATCAGTATTAAAATGTGAATGATTTCTTCTGTTTGCATTTCAAGCCAAACTTCTGCCAGTGTCCGCAGACCAGGACTGACGCCATCATTTCAAACATTATTTTATATGTTTTTGTTTTTATTGTTTTGTTTTTTTAATGATTGAACTTGATTTGCAGTTTCTCCCAGATTTCCAAACAATGTGAGCTAAAAGTACGTATTTATAACCAGATATTTGGTCCATTAACTATTGAAATATCAGTTGGAAATGTTGAACTGTGTATTATAGGTTGAGAGACCACCCCCAATGTAAGAAGTCATGTGTTTGAGCAATTATTTCACTCTGAGAGACATTGCAGAATCAATAAGGCAACACATGGGGAGAAAGTTGAATTTGGAAGTCCTGTGAAATCTTGTTCGATACAGACAATTCACAAAAGTCTATTAATTTAGTTTGTGTCTGTCACCCACACATTTTGTTAACTTGGTCACAGCCAAAATACACTATATTGTCTTGGATTAGAATCTCTAGAATTCACACGTATTAGAATCCACGCTAGCCCAAAGAAAGTTCACACTGTCATCAACCCAAGTCCAAATAGACTATTTTATTTTGACTAGAATCTCTAGAATTCACCTGTTTTACCTGTGATAGAATCTACCCATCTACAAATTATAACTAACACTAATGCTAACGCTAACACAGCCCAAAGCAAAGAAAAACAGTTCCACCCACTCCAGCTCTTTTAACAAACGTATAGTAAGAAAACGAATCATCACTCAGGCAACTTCAGCTCAGCCTAGTCCTAGCCTTCATCTATATCAGTTCCACAAACTATTATTGGCTTTAAGGGCCTCTCAGAAGACACTGTATTAGTTGTTAGCATCTTATCCTAATAATCTTAGACCCGACAACATCCAAGATTTCAAATATATATATCTGACAAAAAAATGGTGGTCTTAAGTTTGTTATCAACAGAGAAGGATCTAAAATGCTATAATTTGATCCTAAACCAAATCCAAATCATCCAATGTTTATCAGTTTGTTTAACCTTTTCAACTTGTTTCAAAGTTTCTGGGCCTGAAGCGCTTCCTCTAATTGAAACTGTGCCCAAACTCTTACTGTGAAATGTGTTTTCTGATCATGTCTGGATATTATTGTTTTCAATTTTGTGATGTTTCTGATTTCTGTCGCAAAAACTGTCAAAAATATTTGTGCTAATTTCAAGAAGAGAAGAAGAGAAATTTGGCCGCAGTGTTGACGATGTGTCAGATGGACTTCTCTCAGCTCAGTCCATGTTTGTCATTTACACATATTTCTAGACTGGTTTTGGTTAGGTATGATTTATCCATTCAATTCCAAAACCTTTACTAGTCCCTGTACATAAGACATAAATAACAGAAGACGATAGACAGAGAAAGATAAATTAAAGGAGCTAAATCTTCTCTTTCTGGTCTCTCTCTGGTCTCTCTGTGGCCTCTCTCTGGCCTTTCTGGTCTCTCTCTCTGGTCCCTCTCTGGGCTCTCTCTGATCTCTCTCTGTTTTGGAGAGGCTGGCTAGCTCCAGGACGAAATGCTAAGTTATTAGAGAGAGTCCCGTCAGAACCACAGCCAAATGTTTTACTCACTTTGCTCTACCATTTCTGAATCAAAGGTTAAAAAAAAATCCACTGATCGCTGTCTTTGCATAGGGTTAGATCAATATTGAGAGACTGAAGCACGTTTTGTCTAAAAATGTGCTTTTAATAATTACAATTTAGATATTTATGGATCAAACGGTGGAACACACACAGATTTGAGCATTCTCTTCAGACAGTGGTCCTGGTTCTTCTTTATCCTCAGATTTCAGCGCGTCTCAAGCTGCGGTGCACTGTACTACTGACTGGAGGCTGTAGCGTGTATTTAAATGTGTGACTTGTTAATTTAAGAATCTTTTTGTACAGTGACGTGGGGTGGAAACGTGTAAATAAAGTGTTTTTGTACAGACCGAGCGCAGACTGTAGCTGTATATGAGTCATGTCCAGATCCCAGCGCAAATAAAAGAAACGGGAAAGAGAAAAGTGTGTTTTGTTTTTACTGGAACTGTTTTTATGTGACATCACTGCACATCCTGCATTCTCTCTGGTCTCTCTCTTAGGTCTCTCTGTCTCTCTCTTTGGTCTCTTAGGTCTCTCTGGTCTCTCTCTTTGGTCTCTTAGGTCTCTCTCTTTAGTTTCTTAGGTCTCTCTCTCTGGCCTGTCTCCAGTCTAATCTCTTACTCTCTCTGGTCTTTCTCTCTCTCTCTCTCTCTCTTTGGTCTTGTAGGTCTCTCTCTGGTCTCTCTCTGGCCGGTCTCTAGTCTGTCCCTCTCTCTCTGGTCTTTCACTCTGGCCTCTCTCTTTGGTCTCTTAGGTCTCTCTCTCTCTGGTCTCTCTCTTTGGTCTCTTTCTTTGGTCTCTTAGGTCTCTCTATCTGGCCTGTCTCTAGTCTCTCCCTCTCTCTGGTCCGTCTTGCTGGTCACTTTCAGGATTGTAGAGTTACCAGTTGTGTTCATGCGACGCGTTCCACAACTGGTAACTCTACAATCATTCCTGGAAACTATGTTCATTGTCAAAAGTCTAGAAACTATTTTTTTTCTCTAATTCCTGCAATAATCAATATGAAATAATGGTCTCTCCCTGGGCGACAGTAGCTCAGTTGGTAGAGCATTGGCCTTCAGGCCTGAAGGTCGTGGGTTCAATTCCCACCTTGACACCTTCTCCACCGACTCCCACTGATGACTGCTGCCGTTGTGTCCTTGGGCAAGACACTTAACCCCACTTTGCCCAAAGCCCCAGGGACGTGCAGTCAGGGGAGGCAGAGCCTCACCTGCCATTATTGGAAACTAATAATTATTTTAGTTTAAATATATAATTTATATCCACTGTCCTATGCTTTTAATGTATATTCGGCACGGTTCCCATCAGTTTTGATCATTTCTGAAGTCAAAATCGCCGAAATCCCGTTATTCCTATTCAAAGAGACGAGGTGAGGCAGCGCTCCTGCGTGCCTCACCCCAGACCGCTCCCTCACAGTGTGTGTGTGTGTGTCTGAGTGCACTCAGCTCGTGCAGTTGATATATCACCGTTTGTTTCAAATATCCTGCTTTAAAAACATTTTTTAAACTCCTCTTAGTGTTTAGTAGTGTATTGCACGTATGTGTGTACAATTTATATTTAGTTTAAGTCTTTTGATCGTAGATGAACACACAAGGAAAAAGCTTGGCGTGAGGCAGGCGGTATCTGTGCCTCACCGCTAGGGGTGATAGTGAGCATAAAGTTCATACCAGAGTTGCTAACAAACAATCAGCCCACAATGCTATTTCTTTTGCTGGAAAATGGATGATTTGAATGAAGATTTTTTTTCTCAATTGGACTTTCAAACAAAGAAAGAATTAATATAGACTGGGAGACCACCACTGGACTTACGAGGTTAGTCCGGCTGCGGGGGAGGAGTTTGTTAATCTGTGTTTTATGTT